AGGCACTCACCACCACACCTGGCTACTTTTTGTATTTTAATTAGAGACAAGGTTTCGCCATGTTGGCCAGGCTGGTCTCGAACTTGTGACCTCAGGTGATCTGCCCTCCCCCCCACGCAGCCTCCCAAAGTGCTGGGATTACAAGCTTGAGCCACTACGCCTGGCCTTTTTTATATATATATATATTTTTGAGACAGAGTCTCGCTCTGTCACCGAGGCTGGAGTACAGTGGCGCGATCTCAGCTCACTGCAAGCTCCGCCTCCCGGGTTCACGCCATTCTCCTGCCTCAGCCTCCTGAGTAGCTGGGACTACAGGTGCCCGCCACTACACCCGGCTAATTTTTGGATTTTTAGTTGAGATGGGCTTTCACCGTGTTAACCAGTATGGCCTTGTGATCCGCCTGCCTCGGCCTCCCAAAGTGTTAGGATTAATTAGATACCAGGTTTCACTAGGTTGATCAGGCTGGTCTTGAACTCCTGACCTCAAATGATCTACCCATCTTGGCCTCCCAAAGTGCTGCGACTACAGCCATGAGCCACCACACGTGGCCAAAATATTTATATTTTGATGGACATAGTTCCCCAATTTTTTCCTGTGTGTTTGTGTTCATTTTAAGGAATGGTTGATCACATTCAAATAGATTCGAGTTTAGAAGTAAGAAATGAAACCACAAAGAAAAAGGTAGGCTTCAGTAAAATGCACATAAATTAAAATTTCTATACAGCCCGCTTCCTTAAAGGAATTTAAATGTGGACAGATTGGAGGGGAAACATTTGCAGCAAAAATCATAAGTAGAAGGAAACAATGGTTAAGTACACAGTGCAGTAGCCATTTAGGAAAGTTATAAGCCATTTAAATGCCACATATAAGGTGTTTTTGATGATAAGAAAAAAATCAAAGTGTAAAGGGGAATACAAAATTACATGTGTACTGTGGTCACATCTGTATTGTTCTGTGTATGGAAAACAGACTGGGGAGAAATAGCGTTAAGTCCTAATAGTAATTTTCTTTTTCTTCCTTTTCTTCTTGTTTTTTCTTTTGCCTGTCTCCCTCAATATTGCATATCTTTTCCATTAAAAAGTATTGTATTATATATCTACCAACAAGACATTCGTTTCAGATTTTTTGGTTTTGTCTTCAAGGAATATTCTTCTGCATACAACTTCATACTTTTAAAATTCTCTGACCTGGCTCAGTGGCTCATATCTGTAATCCCAGCACTTTGAGAGGCCAAGTCGAGTGGATCACTTGAGGCCAGGAGTTCAAGACCAGCCTGGCCAACATGGTGAAACCCGTTCTCTACCAAAAATACCAAAATAATTAGCCAGGTGTGGTGGTGTGCACCTGTATTCCCAGCTACTTTGATGGCTGAGGCACAGGAATCACTTGAACCCAGGAGGCAGAGGTTGCAGTGAGCTGTGATCACCTCACTGTACTCTAACCTGGGAACAGATTGAGACTTGTCTCAAAAAAAAAAAAAAATTATTGGCTGGGCGTGGTGGCTCACACCTGTAATCCCAGCACTTTGGGAGGCCGAGGCGGGCCAATCACCAGAGGTCGGGAATTTGAGACCAGCCTGACCAACATGGAGAAACTGCATCTCTACTAAAAATACCAAATTAGCCAGGTGTAGTGGCACATGCCTGTAAACCCAGCTACTTGGGAGGCTGAGGCAGGAGAATTGCTTGGACCCAGGAGGCAGAGGTTGCAGTGAGCCAAAATCGCACCACTGCACTCCAGCCTGGGCAACAAGAGCGAAACTCCGTCTCAAAAAAAAAGAAGAAAAAAACAAAACTTTACTTTGGATAAGTACTTAGAAATGGAATTTCCAGGTTAGCCACTAGATATTATTAATGGATTTAATATGAAAAACCTTTACTTGAGGATATATAAACCTTTAAAAGACGGGGTCCCTATTCTTTAGTTATAAATAAAGCAGCATTTGTAAGGTAATATTCAGAAAACAGCCGGGCGCAGTGGCTTAGGCCTGTAATCCCAGCACTTTGGGAGGCCGAGGCGGGTGGATCACGAGATCAGAAGATCGAGACCATCCTGGCTAACACGGTGAAACCCCGTCTCTATTAAAAACATACAAAAAATTAGCCGGGTGTGGTGGCGGGCACCTGTAGTCCCAACTACTCAGGAGGCTGAGGCAGGAGAATGGCATGAACCCGGGAGGTAGAACTTGCAGTGAGCTGAGATTGCGCCACGGCACTCCAGCGTAGGCGAGAGAGCGCGACTCCATCTCAAAAAAATAAATAAATACAAATTCAGAAAACATCAGATAATATCATATAAAGTCCTCCTGTTCATGCTGATGACATTGGATGGCCAGTTAAGGATGACGCTTCATTCTGTCCTCTGCAACCACGGTCCTGTCATGACTAAATGATACTGACCCTATGAGAACGCTGTGGATATGAAAGCATTTCCTCAAGTTAGCTTTTTGGCCTGCTGGTTTTAATCTAATGATGGGATATCCAAAGTGAAACAAATGGAGTGAAATGATTGTGCATCTGTTGGGGGAAATCAGAGACAGCTAGAGCAAGGGCAGACACCTGCTGAACTCATCTCTCCTAAGAGCGGAAGCAAGCAGCAGTGTTGCTAGCAGGGCTACTGCGCATCTGTACACGTGGCTCCAATGGTTCTGACTTGTTTTTTTTTTTCCCAGTATGACCCTAATACATGGGGCAAGTTAGAAAATCAGAGTTGGCCGGGCGTGGTGGCTCACGCCTGTAATCCCAGTACTTTGGGAGCCAAGATGGGTGGATCACTTGAGACCAGGAGTTCAAGACCAGCCTCGCCAACACAGTGAAACCCCGTCTCTACTAAAAATACAAAAATTAGCTGGGTGTGGTGGCAGGCGCCTATAATCCCAGCTTCAAGAGGCTGAGGTTGCAGTGAGCCGAGATCAGGCACTTCAGCCTGGGTGACAGAGCGAGACTGTCTCAAAGAGAAAAAAAAGGGGGAAAAGGAAAGAAAAGAAAATCACAGCTTGTTTGCCACTTGCAGCTAAAGCAACAACACACATGCACAAAAATTATTCAGTAAAAGCAAAACAGTTTTGACGTATCTTGAGATTTTGTTTTATATCCAAAGGAAGACTCTATCTTTTATGTTTGACCTACCCTTTGGAAAATGCCTTCTATATAACAAATGTTGTAATTCTCTTCTAATTGGACCTTGAGGTCTCTCAGGAGAATGGGTATAAACTCTAGTCTCACCCTAATGGGGCTCTAGGGGAGGGGCTTGTGGGTCTTTACAGTAGCCTTTCACTGGACATTTATTTTTCCTGGCCAACAGCCTAATGCTCAAGTGTCTGACCCATGGCCAGGTGTCTCACAGGAAACTTGTTTATACTGGTAGATGCCTTGCAACTTTTGTCTGACCTGTGTGCAGTTTATTCCTACCATGACACCCACTCTTTTTTTTTTGAGACGGAATCTTGATCTGTCAACAGGCTGGAATGCAGTGGCGTGAACTTGGCTCACTGCAACCTCTACCTACTGGGTTCAAGCAATTCTCCTGCCTCAGCTTCCCGAGCAGCTGGGACTACAGGTGCGCCCCACCACGCCCAGCTAATTTTTGTATTTTTAGTAGAGACAGCGTTTCACCATGTTGGCCAGGATGGTCTTAATCTCTTGACCTCGTGATCTGCCCGACTCAGCCTCCCAAAGTGTTGGGATTACAGGCATCAGCCATCCAACTTGGCCTTTTTTTTTTTTTTTTTTTTTGAGGCAGATCTTGCTCTGGTGCCTAGGCTGGAGTGTAGTGGCAGGATCACAGCTCACTGCAGCCTCAACCTCCTGGGCTCAAGCAATCCTCCCACCTTCGCCTCCCAGGTTACTGGGACTACAGGCATGTCCCACCACCTCTGGCTAATTTGTATATGATACATATTTTTGTAGAGATAGGGTTTTGCCATGTTGCCCACCTGTGATTACAGGTGTGGGTTACCACACCCAGCCAATGTACATTTAATTATCAAAGTGCTATCTATACTATTTTATGGAAGTACTAATTAGCGAAGTACATTAGAGGTTTTTTATTGTTGTTTTTGTTTGAGACAGAGTTTCGCTCTTATTGCCCAGGCTGGAGTGCAGTGGTGCAATCTCGGCTCACCGCTACCTCAACTTCCCAGGTTTAAGCAATTCTCCTGCCTCAGCCTCCCAAGTACCTGGGATTACAGGCATGTGCCACCACCCCCGGCTGATTTTGTATTTTTAGTAGAGACCTAAATGGTCTCCATGTTTTGTATTCTTAGTAGAGACTAAAATGGTCTCCATGTTTTGTATTTTTAGTAGAGACTAAAATGGTCTCTCCATGTTGGTCGGGCTGGTCTCAAACTCCCGACCTCAGGTGCTCCATCCGCCTTGGCCTCCCAAAGTGTTGGAATTATAGGCCTGAGCCACCACGCCCGGCCAATAGAGGTTTTTAAACTTTTTGTAGACAGTTTTGAAAGATCCTGTCTTCCTTTAAGAAATGAGAAAAGGCTGGGTGTGGTGGCTCTTGCCTGTAATTCCAGCACTTTGGGAGGCCAAAGCAGGTGGATTGCTTGAGCTCAGGAGTTTGAAAGCAGCCCGACCAAATGGCAAAACCTCGTTTCTACTAAAAATACAAAACATTAGCTGGGCATGCACGCCTATAGTCAAAGCTAACACAAAGGCTGAGGTGGGAGGATCACCTGAGTTTGGGAAGTTGAGGCTGCAGTGAGCTGTGATCATGCCACTGCACTCCAGTCTGGGCAACAGAATGAGACCCTGTCTCAAAATGAAAACAAAAACAAAAAAATGAAGCAAGAGGAAAAAAAAATAACAAGAAAGAAAGTGGTAAGGGAGGAGTGCATATTTATTAAGCTTTTGTTGTAAATAGTAATTTGCATATCAGATGTTTACTATAATATTCTTTCAGTTTTGCCTGGCCTACAGCTTGCTGTGTGATTTTGTACTGTTTCATTTATTTAGGAAATAATATATCAATGTGTTTTATTCATTCCCAGCTCTAACCATAGAATATTGGGATTGTCCTATTCTATGAAGGAGGTTTGCCGGTCGCAACAGGAATATTCATGAACATGGAGGTACTCTGTTTAAGTTACACTAACTTTTTTACTCTTCCCCACTCTCATCCTATCCCGTCTGCTCACTATATTCTTCCATCCTTCAGCACCCTTCTATCTCTTCCTTCATCTTAAAAACCTTTCGTTTAATTTCAACAGCGCTGCATGGGTTTGTCATTTCAGGGGTTGGTCATGTTCCAGGATCTGTTTATAGACTTCTCTCAGGAGGAATGGGAGTGCCTGGACGCTGCTCAGAAGGACTTATACAGAGATGTAATGATGGAGAACTACAGCAGCCTAGTCTCACTAGGTAAGGATGTCTATCCGCAAATAGCTCATGAATTTTGGGTGTACCTTTTAATTGTCTGGGTGAATTTTTACCTGTTGCCTAGGGAATTGTTTTGTGTTTTGTAGATTAAGAGATGGGCAGCTCTTTGGGGTCCCTCCATCTTCTCCATGCTTCAGACCTTTACACCTTTCTCTAGTCCTCCATGAGGACTAAGGGACTAACTTTGAATTCAGGAACAACAGGAGTGTCTTACTTCTTTTCTTTCTCTTTTTTTTGAGACAAAGTCTTACTCTGTCGCCCAGGCTGGAGTGCAATGGCGTGATCTCAGTTCACTCTAACCTCCGTCTCTTGGGTTCAAGCGATTCTCATGCCTCAGCCTCCTGAGTAGGTGGGATTACAGGCATCCACCACCATGCCCGGCCAATTTTTGTATTTTTAGTAGAGACAGGGTTTCACCATGTTCGTCAGGCTGGTCTTGAACTCCTGACCTCAAGCAGTCCACCTATTTTGGCCTCCCAAAATGCTGGGATTACAGGAGTGAGCCACCATGGCTGGCCGTCTTACTTCTTTTCTTATAAACAGGTCTCTGTATCCCAAAGCCTGATGTGATTTCCTTACTGGAGCAAGGGAAAGAGCCCTGGATGGTTTCAAGGGACATGCTGGGAGGATGGTGCCCAGGTGAGTAAGGACTGACCAGATGGGAAAGATACTGCTGTTTAGAACCCAGCCTGTCAGGGAGGCAGCACCATACAGGTATTGGTTGAGGAGTCTCTTCCTTAGGGTCCCATGTAAGGGTTGTGGCTTAAGAAACATGGAGAAAAGTCATTATACCCCCCAACACGCACTTTTTTTTTTTTTTTTTTTTTTTTGAGACGGAGTCTCGCTCTGTTGCCCAGGCTGGGGTGCAGTGGCCGGATCTCAGCTCACTGCAAGCTCTGCCTCCCGGGTTCATGCCATTCTCCTGGCTCAGCCTCCCGAGTAGCTGGGACTACAGGCGCCTGCCACCTCGCCCGGCTAGTTTTTTGTATTTTTTAGTAGAGACGGGGTTTCACCGGGTTAGCCAGAATGGTGTCGATCTCCTGACCTTGTGACCCACCTGTCTCGGCCTCCCAAAGTGCTGTGATTACAGGCTTGAGCCACCGTGCCCGGCCAGAGATGGGGTTTCACCATGTTGGCTAGGCTGGTCTCGAACTCACCTCAGGTGATCCACCTGCCTCGGCCTCCGAAAGTGCTGAGATGACAGGTGTGAGTCACTGCACCTGGCCAAGAATCCCCTTTTACCTTCACCTTTTCAGTCTCTACTACCCTCTTGTCATAATTTCTTCCCATTTCAAAGAATAAAGTTACCTTTTTCGGGAGCCATCTGTTTCCTCTATCTTGGAGCTACTTCTTTCCCTTTGAAATTTAAACCTGTGTTCTTGCTTTAAAGAAAAATCTTGCTGGGCGCGATGGCTCACGCCTGTAATCCCAGTACTGTGGGAGGCCGAGGCGGGCAGATCACGAGGTCAGGAGATCGAGACCATCCTGGCTAACATGGTGAAACCCCGTCTCTACTAAAAATACAAAAAATTAGCTGGGCGTGGTGGTGCGCGCCTGTAGTCCCAGCTACTTGGAGGCTGAGGCACGAGAATGGTGTGAACCCAGGAGGTGGAGATTCCAGTGAGCCGAGATGTCCCCACTGCACTCCAGCCTGGGCGACAAAGCGAGACTCCATCTCAAAAAAAAAAAAAAGAAGAAAAATCTTTCAAAATATATTTATTTTTCATATTGATCCTTAAGTTTTTTTTTGTCTTGTCTTTTCTTGTCTAATTTTCCTTTGATGCAGCCATTTCATTCATCAATGGATATTCATTCCCTTTTTTTTTTTTTTTTTTTTTTTGAGATGGAGTCTCACTCTGTTGCCCAGTCTGGAGTGCAGTGGCATGATCTTGGCTCACTGCAACCTCTGCCTCCTGGGTTCAAGCGATTCTCCTGCCTCCAGTCTCCGAGTCGCTGGGATTACAGGTGCACGCCACCACACCCGGCTAGTTTTGTGTTATTAGTAGAGACGGGGTTTCACCATGTTAGCCAGGATGGTCTTGAACTCCTGTCCTCAGGTGATCTACCCACCTCAGCCTCCCAAAGTGCTGGGATTACAGGCGTGGCTACCGCGCCTGGCCTTTTTTTTTTTTTTTTTTTTGAGACAGCGTCTTACTCTGTCACCCAGGCTGGAGTGCAGTGGCGTGATGTTGGCTCACTGCAACCCTGGCCTTTTTTTTTTTTTTTTTTTTTTGAGACAGAGTCTTACTCTGTCACCCAGGCTGGAGTGCAGTGGCGTGATCTTGGCTCACTGCAACCTCCGCTTCCTGGGTTCAAGTAATTCTCCTGCCTCAGCCTCTTGAGTAGCTAGGACTACAGGCACGTACCACCACACCTGGCTAATTTTTGTATTTTCAGTAGAGACAGGGTTTCTCCATGTTGGCCAGGCTGGTCCTGAACTCGACCTCAGGTGATCCACCCGCCTCGACCTCCCAAAGTGCTGGGATTACAGGTGTGAGCCAGCACGCTTGGCCTGATTTGCTTTTAATCAACATTTATTGACTTAAAAAAAATCATAAAGCCTTCTTTTCTTGGTGGGTGACAGTTACAGAAGATACAAGCTCTCAGAATTACAGTCTAATAAATTTATTTATTTATTTATTTTGAGACAATATGTTGCTGTGTTGCCCAGGCTGGAGTGCAGTGGAGTGATCTTGGCTCACTCCAACGTCTGCATCCTGAATTCAAGCAATTATGCCTCGGCCTCCCGAGTAGCTGAGATTGCAGGCGCGTGCCACCATACCTTGCTAACTTTTTGTATTTTTAGTAGAGACGGGGTTTTGCCACATAGCCTAGGCTGGTCAAAGTGCTAGGATTGCCAGCATGAGCTACCACACCCAGCTTAATAAAGGGTCTAGATCATGTGTATAAATCACTTTCTAAAAAGTAGACTCAACCAGGAGATTTCTAATATGGTGCTTAGAAGAAAGAGCTGAAGATATAAATGTGAAGGAATAGTATATGGCTGCTTTTAGGAGGAAAAGGTACACAGAAATGATTGTGTATAAAAGAGGACAATAAGTTAAATATAGAAGACTTAAGTGTCAAGGAAAAGGGAGTGATCCATTTTCAATAAGTTGGTGACAGTCTTAACATGGACAAAAATTGGGCTGTAAGTAGCATAGACTGAGGGATTTTTCTTTTGAAGTAGAAAAGATAAGGCATTGTCGGGCGCGGTGGCTCATGCCTGTAATCCCAGCACTTTGGGAGGCCGAGGCGGGCAGCTCACCTGAGGTCGGGAGCTTGAGGCCAGCCTGACCAACATGGAGAAACACCGACTCTACTGAAAATACAAAAATTAGCTGGGTGTGGTGGTGCATGCCTGTAATACCAGCTACTTGGGAGGCTGAGGCTGGAGAATCGCTTGAACCCAGGAGGCAGAGATTGTGGTGAGCCGAGATGGTGCCATTGCACTATAGTCTGGGCAGCAAGAGTGAAACTCCATCTCAAAAAGAAAAAAAGAAAAGGCATTTTATTTTTCAAAATGTGCTTTTAAGTAATGCAAACTATCCATTTTAAAAAGTGTTTTAATTGTGGGATATAGATGACTTTATTTTCTTTTATCCATAGAACATTACAAAAATTTTTTTTTTAATTATTAACTTGATTATGGAAGTCTTTGAACATACACAAAAGTAGAAAGGATGGTGGAATGGACATCCCCCGAATCCATTTCCTAGCTGCAGTAGTTTTCAATGAGTTTCCATGTTTCCAATCTTACTTGATCTATGCCTGTTGACCTCTGCACCTTCCCTAGAGTTTGTTAAAGCAAGTCCTGGATATCATGAGTTCAGTACTATTAAATGTATAGGTAGCTTTTCAGTGTTTCTTCTCCTTTTTTTGTTTTTGTGACAGGGTCTCTCTGTTGCCTATGCTGGAGTACAGTGGCACAGTCACAGCTCACTGCAGCCTTGACCTGCAGGACTGAAGTGATCCTCCCACCTCAGCCTCCTGAGTAACTCAGACCACAAGCACACACCACCACACCTGGTCAATTTCTAATTTGTTTTGTAGAGATGGGTTCTCCCTATGTGCCACAGGCTGGTCTGGAAGTCTTGGGCTCAAGCAATCCCACCTCACTTTCCCAAACTGCTGGGATTACAGGCATGAGCAACTGTGCCCAGCTTGTTTCTTCTATTTAAAATGACTGCTCTGAGGTATCTTTATTTAAATGGACATTTTCATATTTAATCTTTCAGATGTGAGATTCCTGGGCCAATTTTTTTTTTTTTTTTTTTTTGAGACAGAGTCTTGCTCTGTTGCTAGGCTGGAGTGCTGTGGCACGATCGGGGCTCACTGCAACCTCCGACTCCCTGGTTCAAGTGATTCTCCTGCCTCAGCCTCCCAAGTAGCTGGGATTACAGGCACATGCCACCTTTCCCAGCTAATTTTTTTTGTACTTTTAGTAGAGATGGGGTTTCACCATATTGGCCAGGATGGTCTCGATTTCCTGACCTCGTGATCTGCCCGCCTCAGCCTCCCAAAGTGCTGGGATTACAGGTGTGAGCCACCGCCCCCGGCCTGGTTTCAACTTTTTAAAACTCATGACAGTCTAGGACAGAAATGCATGAAACACTGGAGCTGCCTCATCCAACTCAGTTCAGACAAGTATTCGTACCTGGTTAGTTAATTTAAAAGTTTAAAGTGAAAAGATCTGATATGCCACGACCATATGATTTTAGATGAGAGCATTTAATCAGAGATGGGTGGATCACTTGAGACCAGCCTGACGAATGTAGCGAAACCCCCTCTGTACTAAAAATACAAAAATCAGCCCGATGTGGTGTTGCATGCCTGTAATCCCAGCTACTCAAATGGCTGAGGCACAAAATTGATTGAATCTGGGAGGAGGAGGAGGAGGCAGTGAGCCAAGATCACACCACTGTACTGCAGTGTGGGTGACAGAGTGAGACTCTGTCTCAAGAAAACAAAAAAGGAACTTTTTAATTTTCATGATACCTTTTTTTTTTTTTTTTTTGAGATGGAGTTTCGCTCTTATTGCCCCGGCAGCAGTGCAATGGCGCCATCTCGGCTCACAACAACTTCTGCCTCCCGGTTTCAAGTGATTCTCCTGCCTCAGCCTCTGAGTAGCTGCGATTACAGGCATGCAACACCATGCCCGGCTAATTTTTGTGTTTTTAGTAGAGATGGGGTTTCACCATGTTGGTCAGGCTGGTTTTGAATTCCTGACCTCAGGTGATCCACCTGCCTTGGCCTCCCAAAGTGCCAGGATTACAGGCGTGAGCCACCACACCTGGCCTCATGATACCATTTTTAACCCATGAGCTTTCATAAATGTTTTGCCTTTTTTTTTTTTTTTTTTTTTCTTGAGACGGAGTCTTGCTCTGTAGCCCGGGCTGGACTGCAGTGGCCGGATCTCAGCTCACTGCAAGCTCCGCCTTCCGGGTTTACGCCATTCTCCTGCCTCAGCCTCCGGAGTAGCTGGGACTACAGGCGCCCGCCACCTCGCCCGGCTAGTTTTTTGTATTTTTAGTAGAGACGGGGTTTCACCGGGTTAGCCAGGATGGTCTCGATCTCCTGACCTCGTGATCCGCCCGTCTCGGCCTCCCAAAGTGCTGGGATTACAGGCTTGAGCCACC